TAAATGGTATAAACAAAAACAAACATAACATTCGAATATTTACCATTGCTTTTCCATGTTTAGTTTGGTTTAAGACGAGTTATTTGTATCATTTAATAATGGAAATTAACCTTAATGATATCTTTGAGTATTGTGGTGAAGCAAAGAGTCCATTGGTTGAAGGGGAAGCAGTTTTCAAGTAATGAATTCCTAAATTTTAACTTTAATGTTTCGAACTGGCTTGTGTATTGATGATGATGAATCCTATTTTGTGTATACCTGGGAACCCAGAATATAATATTCTGTGTAATGTTTGCCTTAACGTATATATAACATATTTGCCTTATATGCATTATTATACCTTATGTTTTTAATATGTTAATTTTTATTTTATACTATTTTTGACATATGTAAGTACTGTTTTGTATATTAGCATAAATAAATAACTTTAACTTGGCTTTATTGTAAAATAGTTCATTTGATTACATGAAATCAACCTAATTTATTTATAAAACATTTTTGTTTTGATACATCCATCCAATCACAGGGCTGAATGTTAAGATTCAAATTACGTCACAGGAGTACAATCCGGCTTAATGTTCATTGGTTAGGCGGAAGAGGCAACCGTAGTAAGTCTAGGAACCGTGGGCCAGACTCAATAATAATAAAACTACTATACAAATATGACTAGTTATTCAGAAGATTTAATCATAATCTAAAAAAGTGCAATACATTTTTAATAAACTATGATTTATTTATCCCGCGGTAAACACTAAAAACACCATATATTATACATAAAGATAAATTAATACATCAAATAGTATTAATTTATTCTCTGAAGTACGGGCCATTACTTTGTTTACATATTTGTATACTAACCTGTGGAACGATATTCCTCCGATAAGATTTTTTATTAACATATCTTCTGCCACTGCAACTACGTTGAGAACAAGAAACCATTATTATGCACTATCACAATATATTACAGTTTCTATAAAAGTATTATAAAACTGAAAATATTCGAAAAACAATAAATATAACCAAACATATACGATCTGTTAAAAGTTCCAAAACAATAATACCAATATGGCCGAAGTTAGGTCGTTTTTAGTCACGTGATGCCCTCTCAATAGATTCTAACTCGATGGTTGTGTCAGATTATTGGATAGATTGATATTTATTCCAATGAACTGTCAATAAATGTTAGCTGTTTTGTTTGATATATAATATATATTATATTGAGCTACGTTCTCGTAATTTTTGTCTCACATAGTGTAGAAGACCCAAAAGGAACACTTTATTTATTGCATTTATATAATAATTCGGTCTTTGTTCCATTTTAAATATATTTCAAATAGTAAACATAAACACTCCACAAAAAAAAGGTTACGGTTCAAGTTAGAAATGTCAACAATGTCAAAATTCATCCGATTTTCGTGCAAAAGTTAAAATATTTTTAACTCCTTTCGATGACTTTTAATTTCGTACGAAAATTATACCTGTCATTTTTCAACCAATGAAATTCTCTGAAATTGATATCGTATCATCGTACCATCGGATATCGGACCTGTGAAAATCCACCTTTATTGGTTGAGTGACAAGGTTTCATGTGTCACCTCGATTTGTCGATTTGTAGAATGTCATTCTAGTTTGGTTTTATTTATGTTCACGGATGGAACCTTGGCATTGTAATGAGTCAGAATTACGTTGTTAGCCAGCGCTGTTGTCAGATCAAAATATAGGGAAGATCAGTTGGAACCTTTTCACACTAATAACTCCAAATCGTTGATTATCAACGCTCCAAATATGCGATTTTGTTAGTTGGAACCCTGTCATTTTAACCTAACGATATGTTGTACGTTTTTGTTCTATCATGAAGTGTATTTGTACTCTATTTTCAAAGATATATAAGCAAAACAGATTTACTGTTATCACTAGTATCAGTTGTATCTTCTAAATTTATAGTTAATTTGGTTATTGCTGGAAATATTTAACATAGTCATTTTGATTACATGTTTGATTACATTTTTGCAGTTGGTTGCTGTGATCTTTGTTACTTCTCTTCTAATTAACTGGAGAGCAGTAGACAAAAATTTAGCAGCCACGTTTTTTCTTCTTCTATTTGCTTCAAGTTGAGTCCTTATTAACTCTATTGGGTTCATTTTACAATAGTAAGGAGGAAGTCCAAGCACGGTATGCCCATTACTGCGAGTACAGTTATCAAAAACATATACCTTCTAGTACTGTCTACTATCTATGGTACTATGGTACTAAACAATCTCCAACAATTACTTTTTACTATAATGCCTCAAAGTACAAATCTCTCCCAAATAAAAATTCTTGAATTTGTTTCAAGTACTATTTGGAATTTTCTCATTAATCTTGAATGATATGATACGTTGTCCATATAATAATCACACTTTATTTAGGTAATCTCGGAAGAAGAGATTCTTGATTCAAAAATTAAACTTTTCATGTCCTCATGATAATCTAAAGACGCATCTTTATTTTTTTTTTGCAGATATTAATAATACATAATCGATCCATCTATTTTCTCCATCGCAGTGTAAAATTATAATTCTTTGTCCTGTCATGAGTATCACACCAAGTCTCATCTAAATAAACAAGATTTCGTTTCATTTTTTGATACTGTTATCTATCGGATAGAAATGTCTCTTTAAGAAATAATTATTCTAGTACTTTCCATTAGTGTTTGGCGCTTGTCTATAGTTTTTTACTTAAAATTATGGGTTTTAAGAAATCATCAAAGTGTTTTTGCTGAATATAAGAGAATATCCTTTCGAACCAGTTCACTTCGAAAGCTTTCAATAGTTATAAAAATATTAGCCACTTCCATTGTATATATTGTTCTGATTATATGTTCCTTTAGGTGCGGTTCTATTTGTGTGAATTTGCACAATCCTTTCTCACCTGTCTAGAAGATGTTGCTCCTATAGTCTTGTATCAGATTGCTTTCGACACTCTGATAAACATGTTTCTACAATTGTTTCTTATTTAGACAATTTAGAACACAATCCTTCATAAACATGTTTCAGCATATGTTTGGGATCATCAGAGAGATATTGAAAATGTCGCTTACATTTTACTACACAGCTTTGTAAATATTCCAATTTATTAGAGGGTTCCACTGGCTTATCAGCTGCAGAATTATTATCATACCATGGGTGCCACATTTTAAAAGTATCTTCGTAAAATTATAAAGTTTACTGTTCTTTTACATATTATTACGTACTTTCTTTCTTTGTGAGTTTTATAAAAACTAACTTCTGTTTTTTTTTAAACATTGAACGTTTACATCTATGGTTCCTGAGTTGAACTTTTTTATACTTGAACCCTCCATATCCTCATGATAATCTAGATTCACGTCTTTCATTTTTTTTGCAGATATTAATAATACATCGTCGATGTATCCATTTTCTACACCGCAGAGTAAAATTATAATTCTGTCCTTTATTGGGCGGTACTGAATTAGAACACTTTTTGTTATTATTCATCCAACTTTTTTTCAACCGTATCATGAGTACCATACCAGGTTTCATCCAAATAAACAATATTTCGTTTAAAAATAAAGTTTAAAATAAAGTAAAATATTATACCTACCTACCCAAGTGTAAACCACTGGACGGTCAAAACGAAATTTATTTGGATAAACTACCTTATAGTTTCGGTCGCTCAGGCAAATATTGTTATCTTAGGCAAATAATGCATCGATAATAACTTTATCTGGGCGACTGTACATCTTTTCTAACGTAATACCAGGCACATCTGAATGTAAATATCGATGGGAATATTAAAACTTTGTATTATAATACATCTCAGTCATTGATAATTTTGCAGTTAATAACTACTCCTGGTAGATTACTTTTATTTTAATTTTTATTGCCTGCTTTTATTACAGATAAATATATTCTTACACAGTCTCACCGAAATACGAGGCGACTATACAACAGCGATAGATAGGCCGGAAGTATGCTGGGTCCAAAAGTTTACTGGTGTGTTTTTGAGATATGACAGATTGTGTGCACATCTAATTAAATGTGTGCACATGTCATCGAGTTGTTAAAAATGCAATATCTTAAATAATATGTTAGTAAGCAGATGTAAGATGTCTTGGCATAAACTTTGACCTTATATATAACAAAGTTATAACATAATTTTCAAGAGTAAAAATTAAACTAAGATAAACGAGGAATCCCTAAACTCTTTAAATTTGTCAAAGCGAATGTCAAAAGTTTTTAATCAAATAAATTTTTTAACTTTACTACCAAAATATTCTAAAACTTTTGTGATCGAAAGTGATCTACTCAAATTTCATAGAGATTCACCTCTTACAAATTTGTGTCAAATAAGATGAGATGACGGGACAAGCGATGAATTCTGCACTACCTCTACCGGCCTTCTAGTCATTATCAGCAGCTTCTTGCACCTCTTCAGCCACGCTCTGGTCATTGTCAACTATTTCTTGAGTCACCCCCTAGTCGTCGGCAATTACTCCTTAAACTACTTTAACTTCCAACATTATAGGAGGACACCCACAATCTCCACAATGAGAAACACAATAACATTGATACCAAAGCGATCAAAAACCCCTCCTGCTATACGACTGATACTAGAGACTTATATCATCCTCTATTTGACCAAACTGTATTACAATTTGTTTGATCAACAAGCTGCATAGTGTGTGAGCAGTTTAATATATGTCTTTAGAGTAGTTAAGCATGTCTGAAAAATTTTAAGTTGCATTTTAATTCAGTATTCAATAAAATGAAACATAAATAAGCTTTATTATCCCTCCTACCATTAGTAATTACTCCCCTTATTTTGTGTTTATACCCTGCTTAGTGTTATTTTTAAACACATATTAATCATGCTACAAATGCTACAAAACTGTAGTAGATATGGAGAAATCTTATAGTTTCTTGCCCCGGCGCCAATTTTTATCTCTTGGATATTCTTATTTTTATATACATTATTTCTTATATGATAATGAGTATACTTACTTTGCAAAATCTAAATGTACAGGTACGGTTTTCTTTCCAAGTTTTAATGCTTTTAGTAAACCTAACTCACTGAAAGAGGCAGTTACTCTTTTATTTTGTAGAGTAAATTCTCTAGATCTGGATGATATTTCTGGGAGGAAACCATTGGGAGCTTTTACATCACCATAGTGGTTTAATATTGTAACTTTTGAAAGAACTGTTTCCCTGTAAAAAATTAAATAATTCATATCAATATGTAAAGAGTTAAAAATAACAAAATATTATATAAAACAAAATATTTTTGACTTTTTGACTGAAAAAATGTAAATAATTCGATTGTTAGAGGATATAAAAGAATACTATAAAAAATTTTTAAAAATATCTAAAATAAATTTATAAAGTTTCAGAACTTTTTCAGTCTTATCGAACAATCCTTAGTGAAAAAACGTCTATATAGTAGTTAAAACTAGCCACATAACGAGGTCAGATGTCCCTTAAAATGCATAATTAAAGTAATAAATTTTTAAATATTTTTCAAAAAAAACATACTTTCTTTGTATTATAGATCATATTTGGATCATTCAAACCCAAAAGATACACATGTAAATTTGAACAGAAAAATTTCATAAATAATAACATACATACTTTGGAACGTCTTCTTGTAATACAGCATTTACAGTATATCCAATAAGACTTAAGGCTGGTACCTCAGCAATGAATGACAATTGATACTTGGTTTGTGACATTGATGGTCCATACTCAAATATAGGAGAAACTTGGCACATCACCTTCTTTCCTTCAAAATCAAGTAGCTACAAAAAAGTTGACCTTATAATGGAGAATTGGTATACTAGTTAAAAATCGCCACATAGAAAATACTAGTATCAACAAACTAGCACAAAACCCTTTTTATACATTCTTCTTATTATTATTTATGACAATGTCTTATTTTTTCAAAGTTGTAGCTAAATTTGGGATTCCGATGTGCAACTTTCGTACTAGCGTTTGAAGGGTCTAACCCAGTGATACTCAACCTGCGGCCCGCGGGCCGCATGCGGCCCTCTGGCGTTTTTTATGCGGCCCGAAGGCCAACTAAGAATTTTTGACTTTATCTACATATGTATTTATAAAATCTTATAATTTAAAAAATATCATTATATTAAATATTTTTGTAATTCATTTTGTTCAACCGGGGATTTCCCGAATTTTACGTTGTTATGTTATGTTTGCATTTCCAATTCATGTCGATTTGGAACCAGTTCAATTATTATATTAACATATCAATTTCATTCAGCGCTTCCGTTTAAACGTATCGTCTTTTTCAAATTTTGTCAAGTGAAGTGTGTTTCTTTTACTTATAATAATCTTAATTATAATTGATTTGCCGGGAATTTAAAACAGTGATAATGGCTGGCGTATCCTTAAAATCCAAACGTAAAATATCTGACGAAAACAGACTATTTCAAGACACTCCTGGCTCGCTTTTTTATCCTGGCTTGAATTTCATTTTCAGCTGAAAATGCAGTACATATATAAACTTTTCTGCAATTGCTTTAAATTTTCATTTGGTCATTAGCCATATTATCTGTAACTTTTCGTTTTGTCTATAGTTTCTGACAACATTTTTACACAGAGTGGCATTTTTTTTATTTTACTGATTATGCCGCCCCCCCTGTGATGCCACCTGATGCGACTGCCTCGCCGTATCATAGCACGGCACGCATAGCACCCGCACCCCTGTAACTTATTAAAATAAACATTATAGAAGTTTTATGGGACTTTTGGCATTCGGTAATAATGTAATATTTTATTCTGCGTTTAAATTTTTCCAAAATTCTTATTATTTTTCCAAAGATTAAAAAAATGAATGCATTTAAAAAGCATTTGACCGAAATATTGCGCAAGCATTATACATTTTTGAAATCAGTATTTTGAAAATTAGTTTTTCGTTTCGGTGGGTTGGAGTCAATAAAAGGGGCTAAAGAGGCTGTTCTAAAAGACTATTTTTTATATCTCAAGCTTTCAAATGTTATTACATATTATATAAATATATATATATATATATATATATATATATATATATATATATATATATATATATTTATACTACCTTACGTAGATTGCGGCCCGCAAGCTGTGGCAATAGCTACTATGCGGCCCAGGAAAAAAAAAGGTTGAGTATCGCTGGTCTAACCGCTGGTCTAGTGGTGTTCGCTTTTTCTTCTTTTGAAATATTTGCAAGTCTATTATCGCCCATTCGATCAACCTGGTCTCTCTATGCTCTTTTCTGAGTCTAGATCATTTTACAACATCTTGGATGTTACACATGTTCCTGATATTGCCTTTCTGAGTCCACGCTCGTTCACACTGCAGTATACTGCGTAAGGATTTGTTGGTCCTCTTAGAAACTTGTCTTATCGATAGACCGGCTTCACGCAACCCGATCCCTCTCAAAGTCACTTATCTGCGACACCCGGCAAAATCTGCGCATACTAGACATTTTGAGCAATAAAAAAAGGTTTCTCAATTAGTTACACGAAATTTAAAATTTATCTGATACTGTAAATTCACGAAAACTAAATGCTTCTTTCATCATCATCATAAACCTGACCTGACCTTACTCCTTGCTGTATAGAGAATTATTTGTTTCTTGTTCAGATTTAAAGTTTATATACGTGTGAAGGCAAACTGATATGACGGTACTGTCATCGCCAGCTAACTTGGCGGTGCGCACAAACCCAAAATTGCTTAGTGGCTAGGTGGTGGTCTTTAGTCTCCTCCCAGTTATCAGGTGCGTACCTAACACTTAAGTGATTTGCGGCTATTATTTTTCAGACTTCTTATTATTTCGGATAGTTAAGTGTATTTGTGACAATTTCTAACGATGGCGTTGAAAAATAGTAGAAAAAATAATTCTGTTATTAGTAGAGAATCTCGGGAGATTATATTTAATGTGTTCAATTATTTCAAAAGCGACATTCGCAGAATAATTTACGATTTTTATAAAACAGAAAAATGTCGGGTTACGGTAAAAAAATTAAAACAAAAAATTCACAACGATTTGGATATCACAATTTCACAAACATCTTTAAGGCGACTTCTACGCAGAATGCAATTTCGTTGGAGGAATACCGAAAACAACTGAAAAGTGCTTGTAGAAAAAAGTGCAATAAGAGCTTTGATAATAAAATATCTCAGGCAAATCAAATATTTTCGGAGTCAAAATAGGCCAATCGTGTATGTTGACGAGACCTACAGCGGTCATACTTCTTCAAAGAACTGGACTGACGAATCAACCAAGGGCTTATTTTCAAATATTTCCAAAAGTCAACGACTAATAATAGTGCATGCCGGTGGGGATATGGGATTCATAAAAAATGGCTTATTAATCTTTAAATCAGGTTCAAAATCAGGGGATTACCACTCTGAAATGAATTCAGACAACTATGGAAAGTGGTTACAAGAACATTTATTACCTAATTTACCTGTTATTATCGGTATTAGTTTTTGATAACGCACCTTATCACAGTATTCAGTTGGAGCGGGCGCCTACATCAAACTCAAACAAAAATCAAATGATAGAATGGTTAATGCAGAAAAATATTTCATTTACACCTAGTGCTTTAAAACCTGAACTGTATGAAATAATTAAATATCATAAACCTTATCATGTAAAATACAAATTCGACGAAATTCTACGTGCGCATGGCCATATTCCTTTACGTTTACCTCCTTACCATCCTGACCTAAACCCTATTGAACTAATATGGGCTACAGTCAAAAATAATATGAGGCAGAAAAACGATACATTTAAGCTAGCTGACGTACAAAAACTCGCCGAGGAAGAATTCACTAATATTGATGCAAATGAGTGGAGAAAACGATGTTACCATGTCATTAAGAAGGAAGATGAGTATATGGACAGCGAAATAGTTGCTGATAACGCCACGCAAATAGCTCCAATTATTATAAATCTTGACAGTGACTCTTCCAGTACAGAGTTTTCTTCTTCCGAAGATGAAAATGAAGAAAATTATTAACAATCCATTTATTTTCAAATAGATACCACTTTTCAACACGGGTACTTGTTTTAGTATTATAATAAAACCAAAATATTAATTAAATAATTACTGTGTTGCATTTATTTATACAATATCCTCCATTTAATTTGAAACACAATATCAACGTAGATTTGTGAATTAAATTCAGTCATTATTGTATAATTTGTTTACTAAGTTAAATAAATATTATAAACCAATGGCTTACTATTTAAATTAAATAAACCAAAATTACAATTTCATCTTTCTAATAATATATTAAAGCTTGCGAAAAATATTACTTTTTTAATAAAATTGTGTAATAATTATTTGACCTATACCGCTACGCTACTGAATATACTTATCAGAAATAGTAAACCAATAGGAAGAATCATAGGGCGTAAACAAAATTTATTTCTCTGTGACGTTCTGCGTAATCCCTCGCCAAGTTAGCTGGCGATGATTGTAGTTTTTTAGATCTGTTATATCTCCTTGCTTGTGTAATAAAACAATTACTACATTGTCCCATTGAGAAGGGGTTTTTCCATGGGAGGCGCATTCAGTAAAAAGTTTAGCCAAAGCCTGGATAATTTTATTTCCACCTAGTTTGATCGCCTTGATCACTACTCCGTTATCGCCAGGGGATTTGTTATTTTTCATTTCTAAAAGTGTTGTTTTGACTTCGTATGGTGTTATTTCTGGCATTAATTCTGATCCCTGGATTGTGATTTTGTGTAGGGACTTATCTTGCCTTTCATCGGCGCTCTCATACATTTCACAATAAAGGAATTTGACAACCTGGAGGATTTCAGTTCAATCCGTAGTAATGTTTCCTTCATTGTTTCTTATTTTGTACATGTTTTTGTTGCCTATGTTGTTCGTAATTCGCCTCAAAACTTTTATTTTCTTGAATTATTTTAGTTATTTCTCTTGCGTCTTTTCGGATTGATTGGTGGATATATTTATTTAATTTCTTCATTGTTGTGTAGTTGGTATTTTAGTTATATTATAACTTTTAGCGCTTTGGTATTTTGGCCTAATTTTTCTTTATAGATCACGTCAGTCGGGCAGCACTTCCTTCCCGTTTCTTTTAGTGCCTTCATTATACCATCATTTGCTTGCTTTACATTTTCTATTTCGTCTTCCAACTCTTGTAGATGCCTGGTTAGTGTATCTTCATACAAGTCTTTTTGAAGTTATACTTCTATACGCACGATCGGCGTTGGAAATTTGCACGAGTAATCTGTGAAAACATTATATATGTAAGATAATGAGTAAGAGAGAGACAGAAAATATATTTTCTCTCTCTTCCTCTCTCGAGAATAAAAATGTTCCTTTTGTATATATATTTAATATTATATTATATATATTATATAATATGTATTAATATTATTATTTATGTGATAATATGTTTTGTATTATTTATTAAACGTTTATAATTATTTTAGGCTTTTGTATTTCAAAATAATCACTGTTTGAATGAGAACTGTCAGTTTTTAAATCCGTTAGTGCGATCTCTAATTGGCTAAATATTTTACGTGTTTGGTTCATACGCTGGTTGTTGTGAGTTCGAATCCCAATATGAATTTCCCTTTTTGTTTTTGAAATATTTAAAAACCTCACATTAACCTTATTAAATATATGTAATATATGCAAAAATGCTAAATATTAAAATAAAATGAAAATTTACAAAATAATCCGAGTTGCTGGTTTTTTTTATTTTTATCTTCGTAAAGTAAGTTATGTATATTGGCAGTTTTAAATACTTATGAATA